GCAGTTGTAAACTGCTTATTAACGTCTGTTAACGTAGAGTTAATGCTTAACAAATATTTAATTCACTATTTGCAAATCTTAATAAATGACTCACGGTAAAATAAAAGTTGACTCAACTCAAAATTTTAAGGCAACAAACTTCAGGACATTTTTGAATTGACTCAACTTTCAACTTTCAAGTTGACTCAACAATTACTGCACTTGACTTGATTTAAGCTGAGTAAACTCAAAAAAGTTCCTTAAGATTGTTGCCTTTTTTTTTTTTGCAGTGAAAAAAATCAAAATTTATACTTTTTATTAATCAGACATATAGTAATGGTTACTATGTATGTTAATTAATGCTTTATTACTTTACTTCATGCAGTTTTGTGAATAAATGACAATTAAAGGCTCAGTATCAAATCTAAAAAATAAAATTACTGTAAAGTTTAAACATTGCTGAATTACAGGAGTGTCAAAATACAATTAGAAAGAAATACAATTAAATGAAACAACAACAGTATAATAATTTAAAAATATTAATATATATTGACACAATAGTTTAATGTTATTTAGCAAAGTTTAAACTGCACAGTAATTTTATTTTACATAAGACTGCTAAGATTTATTTTTCATTTGATTTGGTTTTATTTGTGTGTCTTTGAATAGACATTTATAAAGTAATTTATTTTCTTTTTTCCTGTTTAGAATACTGAGCCTTTAATAGTTATTTATAAGAGATTCATAAAGCATTAATAGTCCTCACTTTAGATTAGGTCACATAACTGGATGAAGTTGACCTAATAAAGCATTTATTAACATACAAATTAACTATTACTATATGCCTGAATAATTGGATATATGAATGTTAATTTGAATAATTTCCTAATCATTTACTTGTGCATTTTGAATTATCTTAAAATAGCCCCAGCTTTTCTTAAATAACTAGTTTGTATTTAATGCAGTACTTAAGTAAAAAGTAATAAAAAACTAATCATTCACAAGATATGAAAATACAATCATTAAGCACATTAAAATGTGCTTATAAGTGAAGAATTTACACCGTGTTTAGCTGTATTTATAAAGCTTTTACTAACATTAATTATTGAGTTAAAGCTTAACAGATAATAAATTAACTATTTGCTTATGCTCAATAGATGATTCATAGTGTGTAGTTATTATAAAGTTTTACCGTAATGTTTAACAGGGCGAAGAGATTTTTTAACAGTGTTTGCTGTATTTTTTTTTTCTGGGTTTTTATTTTGAATGAAATAAACACATTTACATTAAAAAAACTATTTTCAGATTAACTACAGAAAAAAACCCAGTTGTCCAATGACTTTATGAATTAATTAAAAATATGAAAACATATTACAAACTTGTCATCATGGCGAATAAGTTTTTTTTATTGTGAATATTAAAACTAGTATGTTAAAAAATGTGTTGGAAAAAATCTCTCTGTTAAGCAGCACTTGGGAAATATTTGAAAAATCTTTCCAATGATTCTTGTAATTGTTATAAACTAAACTAATAAACACCTGCAACTAAGGTTTAAGTAAGTGAAATGCATTAATGTAGTAAACATAGCTTGCCAAAGGTTTTAGTAAAAGAATTAAACAAGATGGACAAGACAAACAATAAAACACCAAAGAGAATACCATTAAAATGCTAAAGATACAAAATATGTTTTCAACCTTGATTTAGTAATGGAAGCTATAATCTAGGGCATCTGGTTCCATAGATGAGGGCCAGTGACTGACAAATCTCTGTTACCTATAGGGCCTTATCATACACCCAGCGCAATGTAGCGCAAGGCGCGGCACAATTGTTGTTTGCTAGTTTCAGCTTGGTGCAAGAGTCGTTTTGACGTTTTGTGCCATGCTATTTAAATAGCAGATGCATTTGCGCTCATATGTGCGCCTATAGGCGTTCTGGTCTAAAAAGAAAGATGTGTTGAGGCGCATTGCCAGCCTGTTGCTATTCTGAGAAACTATAGTATATTTTTTAATAGACCAGAACAAAGGCGGTCTATTGTCCAGCACAGAGCGTGTTAGTTGTGTGCCTCGCTTACACACTGCTTAATACACACAAGATGTAGAGCAATACGCAAATATCTTTACATATGAAAAAGAATTAAAATATTAAGGATATATATAGGATATATATATATATATATATATATATATATATATATATATATATATATATATATATATATATATATATATATATATATATATATATATATATATATATATATATATATATATATATATATATATAGTATACTTTAAATAATTAAACATTCAATTCAATTCAGCTTTATTTGTATAGCGCTTTTACAATGTAGATTGTGTCAAAGCAGCTTCACATAAATGGTCATAGTAACTGGAACAGTGTGGTTCAGTAACTGGAACAGTGTGGTTCAGGTTTTAGTGTTTAAGTTCAGTTCAGTTCAGTTTAGCTCAGTCCAGTGTGATTTAATCATTACTGAGAGTTCAAACACTGAAGAGCCAATTCATCGATGCGTAGCTCTACCAATCCTGAACCATGCGAGGCAGTGGCGACAGCGGAGAGGGAAAAAAAACTTCACCTGATGGGAGTGGAGAAAAAAAACCTTGAGAGAACCAGACTCAGTTGGGCACGACCATTTTAATTTCTCCGCTGGCCAAAAGTCTTGTGCAGAACTTCCTTTGTCGTGGTTTAGGCTGGAAGATGGCCTCAGCGAAGACTCGTCTGTCCCTGGAGCGTCGCTGGAATCAGACTCATGTTCTCCACTCCCCACGACCATCAGCGCAGCAGCAGCTCAGGATATGGCCTGGTCCCGGATATGGAATCCTTGGGATCATCACGTCGCTGGTCTTGGATCCAATCAGTGACTCCGCATAATCTGAGGACCTCGGGATGAGTATCCCCAGGTGAAAATAGAGAATAAAGAGAATAATTAGCGTAGCTGCTGTTCATAGTGTATATAAGCAAGATGTAGAAGCCAGTGTGGAACCCGCTAGGTGATGCATTGAGTGTATGCTTTACTAAACAGATAGGTCTTTAATCTAGTTTTGAACTGGGAGAGTGTGTCTGAGCCTCGGACGTTATCAGGAAAGCTATTCCAGAGTGTAGGAGCCATGAAAGAGAAGGCTCGACCTCCTTTACTTGATTTTGCTATTCTAGGTACTACCAGAAGCCCTGAATTTTGAGATCTTAAAGAGCGAGTTGGTTTGTAGCGAGACAGAAGGTTGGTTAGATAAACAGGAGCTAGATTATTTAGAGCTTTATAGGTGAGAAGTAATATTTTAAATTCAATACGAAACTTAACAGGCAGCCAGTGTAGGGAGGATAAAATTGGGGTTATATGATCATATTTTCTAGACCTGGTCAGAACTCTGGCTGCTGCATTTTGTACTAATTGAAGTTTGTTAATAGAGGATGCTGGGCAGCCAGCAAATAGAGCATTACAGTAATCCAGTCTCGAAGTCATAAAAGCATGGACTAGCTTTTCTGCATCTGAGATGGATAGCATATTTCGTAATTTAGCGATATTTCTCAGATGAAAGAAGGCAGTTTTTGTGACATGGGATATATGGTTTTTAAAAGTTAGATTGCTGTCAAATATGACACCCAAATCTTTTATAGTAGAGCTAAAGCTAACTTTGTATCCTTCTAATTGTAAATTGAGTTGCGAGATCTGCTGTGTGCAAGATTTAGGCCCAATAAGTAATAATTCTGTTTTGTCGGAGTTTAAGAGAAGAAAATTGTTGGTCATCCAGTCTTTACAAAACATATTATTTTCTACATAAATATAAAAACCATGCTTTCATTCTTCATTTCGGGGAGCTTTTTCAGTTTATTCGTGACAAATTGCTTTTGTATAATGTTATTATTATTATTATTATTATTATTATTATTATTATTATTATTATTATTATTATTATTATTATTAGTATCCATATTTATTTTTGTTTTTATTAAAAACAAGCTTAGATTTGTCCACCTGTCAGGTTTCAGACCATTTTGGCACCGCATTTGTATTAGGATATAACTCAGTTTTTTGACCACGCTTCGTTATTATTGTTCATTTATTTGTTTGCTGGAGATTAGATCTAAATTTAGAAATAGTTTTGAAACAAATCTTTGCGCTTAAAAAGCTAAATTAATTATTTATAGGCTAATTGATATCTGTGCATACAAGGTTTCCCTATCCACGAGAGCGAAAGTGAAAGTAGAGAATTAGAGGCCTTATCTCTCATTCTCGTGCTGTAGATGCTCTGTTTAGCTGTTTTCTTGCTAGTGAAACACTCCACTTACAAAGTCGTCATGTAAATAGCAAATGCGATATGGTGCAACGCAACTGGATCCTAAAGGGAATGGGAGATGAGATTCTGATTGGTTTATTCTCAAAACACATCCATAACTCATAAAGAAAATAAGATCAACCCTTTAGACCATGCGCCACGGCGCAAAGCGGATTTTTTTCGTCCTTATATTAGCAGAAGTGGATTCTGACACGCCCTGAATGTGTTTGCGCCCTGTGCTGTGCACTTTGGGCATGGATCGTCAAAATAGCGCCCTTCGTTTTAAACAGGACTGAGGGACAAATAAAAAAGCCTTGTCAGTAGATCTTAAAAGTTTTAGTAATTGGCCAAAGGGTAAGGAGATCTTTAAGGTAACAACAAAAACAAGAGCTTTAAAACAAACAACAACTCAACTGTAGATCTTCATTTTAGCCCGCTTATTCAGTCGTTTGCAAAATCTATTGGCTCTATACTGTATGTCACGTTAAAAAGAAACTATTCTTCTAACCTCAGGTCAAGAGCTGTAACTCCAGCCATACATGTTTTTGACACAGCTGACATGCAAATGATATACTATACAGGAAACACCAAATCACTGAAATATATTGGTAAAAGTGAAACTTACAAATACAGTTGGCTAGTGATGGTTTTGAGAAAAGCAGACCTGAAAAGCCCATGAAATGTTTCCTCTCTTGTGTGTTCTGACCTCACCTTCTCTCTGTCTGACAGATTCACGTATCGGAGCTGGAGCCGGAGATCTCTGCTGCTACACACTGCCAGATCCTAACCTACAACAAGGGTCTTTAACCAGTTAAAATGCTGGACATCTGCCAACTAATGTATTTTTCCCTGATGGTAAAATGCAAAGTGTTATTACAGTGTTTGATTGCTTCTTGCTGGATTGTTCCTGCTGTGCGTGAATCCTCTCTCAGCCTCACAAAGAGACTCACACCACTGCTAATCATAGGATTTCCATGTACTTGGCAAATAGAGGCTTTTAGTGTATTTAGAGCAAAAAAGGTTTATTTTTTTAATTTCCCCATTATTCTTTTATATTTGCTAATTTATGTACTATTGATAATAATAATAATTGTGTAAAAATGTTTGGATATCTTAAGCACATTTAATTAATATTGTACACAGAATTTATCTGGCTTTATGTTATTTTCTTAAAGTACATTTACAAACATCAAATTAAGATAGAATGTTTTGTTTTATTTTTTTTTCAGTACACTGTAAAATCCAACTGTCAACTGTATTAAATGAAATGAGTTTAGTGAACTCAAAATGTACTGAAAGTTAATTCTACTCATTTGGAAATAATTTTGAACTCAGTAAATCAGTGTTGAAGGTAATGAGTTAATTAAATACCTCATTACTTCAAACCTAAAGGAGTAAGTTCATAGTACTCGTATAGATTAATTTTTTAACTTGAGTGGTTTGTAGCCATCGGTTTTCTCAGACTGTTGAGTTGCCTTAACTTATTGGGTTTTACAGTACTCAGTTGGTTTGAGTTCACTTCATTTGTTGGGGTTTACTGTGCTCAAATTGCTTTATTTAGTCAAATGGATTAGGTTCACAGTACTCAATAGGATTAGTTTTTGAACTTAAATGGTTTGTTGCAATCGGTTCCCTCAAATGGTTTTAAGATACCTTAACTTTTCAGGTTTTACAGTGTTGTGAAGTATATGCACTGCGCTCCTGAATTATTAGATTTTCGTGCTTTAATCTTATAAACAGAATAACTTAAAAGGTCATGATCTGCACTCGTTGAGTAATTGCATTATATTTTCTGTTTCACCTTCTTCAGAAATATAAACACAAATTTTTCAGCTCAACACCTTTCTCTGTGTGTTTAAAACAGTGAATGATTTTTTTTTAATGTAAGTGTTTATTGTTATTAATAATTTCATATGAAATAGATATGATAAATGTTACATTTTACAATACCGGTACTGATTTGCACAACTGGTCAAAAGTTTGGGGTCAGTAGGATATTTTAATGATTTAAAATAAGCTTATCCTGCTAAACAAAACTGCATTTATTTAAAAATATATATTTTTAAATATTAAAAAAATATATATTTTCAATAATACAGTACAAATTCTAAAGTTGTGAAATGTCATTGCACTATAAAATAACTGTTTAAAAGTAGTTTATAATTTAAGTTAATAATTTATTCCAGTGATTTTAAAGATGAATTTTCAGCATCAATACTCCAGTCTTCAGAGTCACATGATTCTTCGGAAATCACACTAATATTAATATACATATTTAATAAATGCCTCCTTAATGAACATAATTATTTTCTTAAAAAAAAAACATGAAAAAGTATAAAACTGACTACAAACTTTTGACTGGTAGTGTGTATGAAAGTATAAGTGGATTTATAAAAAAAATAAAAATAAACACAAATCAACATTGTTTAAAATGATTGAATGTTTAAAAAAATGTAATGAATAATATGATAACAAACAATGAATTAATATTTTGATATTACATTTTTAAAAATGAATTTAATTAATTTATATTAAATAGATATGATAAATGTTGCATCTTAGAATGCTTGTACTGCCTTTTATGAATTATGAGTAATTAAAAATAAAAATGAACAGAAATATAAAACAACACTGTTTGAAACATTTGAATATTTAGATTATTTTTTTATTTTTTATTTTTTTTACTGAAGCCAAATCTGGAGCTTATCTAACAAAATAACTTACATTAACTGTTCAAAATTTAGTATACCCAAATTTATGTTACAGAATAATATTGAATACAAATTTTAAAAAGAGGAAAAATCAAGAGAAGCAAAAAATAAATAAAATTTAGTTGAAATTTTGTAGGTTGTAATTTGTTTTACAATATTTTGCTTGAATTTAATTTAAAAAAAATTATAAATATGTCTGTTCAATTAATCAGTTTTGTTTAAATGCATCAAAATACATTGGCTTCATTCACTGAGAAATTGATAGAAATATTCATTTACAAAATGGGGTGTACTCAATTATGCTGAGCACTTTATACATATCACATTTGCATTTATGCATTTAGCTGAGGACTTCATCCAAAGTGATGTACTAAATAAGAAAGAATGGTCCATTAAAACCTTAAGAATAGTAGTTATACACAATACCAGGTTTATTTAGATGTAATTAAATCACTATTTAATCAAACACTTAGATTGGAAAAAAGCCTTAGAAGAAAAGAAATGCTAAATTGTTTTAATAAGAAGTTTAGTAGACAATTATTTTAGTTTTTTTTTTTCTTTTCATTTTTTGATGTTGGTTATCACCTTGTTTGCACACAACCTATTGCAGTAAGTACACACACTCTAGGGTACAATAAAATGAAATGTTTTCCATTTTGCTTTGTTCACAAAATTACAAAGAAATGCTTTAAAAGATCATGATCGTAGTTAATAAATGGACATTGTGCACATTGTGCTTTCTTCTTTCTTTCTTAATATTTGTTCAAATGTTTCTCTGAGATTGTATCTCTGCTTTTTCCTTTGGATATGTTTAAGTTCTGTTGCTGGGGCCGTAAAATGATTCCTGTAAGCTTGTGTTTTTATCAGATGGTGGGAGTGGACCTGTGTGTTTTTTACCTGCTCGTCACAGAAACAGATCACAGTGGGCAGTCGTGAGGAGAGACTTGACATGAAGCCGCATGCAGAATCATTAACCGTGCAAGAAACATTTGCACAACATGCACATGACCGGATTAATGAGGGTAACATTAGTGCTCCTTCTTTCTTGTCTTTCCTATCAGCCTTTTGCTTCAAGTTCAAAAACCAAGATCAATATACAGTAGTTCAGTCTTAATTTCATATGAAAGTCAGAAAGGCAGTGAGGACCACAAACAAAACAAGTTATGCCCAAAAACACGAAAATATGATTATATTTAGAGAAAATCAAATAAGAAAATTGATGACGGTTAAGTGAAAATTCTTTAAAATTAATGTGTTTGTTCCAGTGTTGGTATATTTACTTCAGTACTGGTTCCTTTAAAATCTTGTTTTAATGTGTTATATTCATAAAACACATGCTTGTTAAAAAAAAAGCTTGTTTTCAATCTTTATATTTTATAAGTTTAATTTGATTGAGCATAAAACAATAAAGTTGTCCCCGCAAAAACTTTATAATTATTTAAATAAGTAGTATAGATATTTTTTTATTTATTTACTTTTTCTTTATTTATATATTTCTTTATTTATTTGTAATATTCAGTCATTTATAATATTCAATAATGTTTTCAGTAATGTTCAGTTGCAGTAAAGGTTTCATTTGTTAATGGTATAATACACTAAAAATGAACAATGCTTGTACATAATTTAATAATCACAGCTTAACAGTTACTAATGTATTATTAAAATCCAAATTCCTGCTTGTTAACTTTAGTTAATGCACTGTGAGTTAACATTAACTAATGATAACCAACATTGTGTACACTAATTAATTCTTGGCTTCCCACTAGGCATAGGCCGGATATAAGTTTCTTGCGGTATAATAACCTTGGATAAAAATATCATGGTTTCAAGCTATCACGGTATTGTGATAACTGCTCTAAAATGAATGTCTTATAAAAACAACAACTTTTCCCTCCATTGAGCACAATATAATTCATTTTAGGAAACATTTATAATATTTTGAAACAGTAAACATGTTATATTTCAAATCAATCATTGACTTCTGTTGTCTTCATTAGTTTCAAAAACAGATTTCTTTACATACAATTCATGAAAAAAAAACTTCAAAGAACTTTACAAATACCTTAAGAATGGTATATCATATTTTTTAAAAGTTTTTAATACCTGCAACATGAAAGTTACCTTATTCATTTTTACAAATTTATGTGGATTGAACATAAAAACATTAGGCTGTGCTATGTTTTACTTTAGAGTTTGCTTGTACTTATACAACTGTATGACTGGGGTTGACATAGGTTAAGTTTAATTACATGTAATTATGCATAATTCATTGTAATTTACTATAGTAAGTTTATGGAATGTTAATATGTCTCCCTAAATTGAAGTGTTACCAATTTAACTACAGAGTAATATTAAGTAATTAATTACATGTACTTACTACACTGTAAAAAACAATACAGGGTTCCACACAATACATTCATGTTGCTTTAACACAAATCGATTGGATTGCACATAAAACAATTGAGTTGGTCAAAAAAAATCTCAAGGATTGTGCTGTTTCAGCTAATTTTAAATAAGTAGTTTGAACAAGAAGAAAAATGTATTTTTTGAGTGTATATGGTTAGGGATTGCGATGAGGGTTAGGATTATGGTTATTTGCATGTAATTATGCATAATTTATAGTGATTATTGATGTACCTGGAACATGTAATAAGCATATCTTGAAATCAAGTGTTACTTTACAATTTTACTGTAAACGCTGTAAATTTGTCATTTACAGTGAAAAAGTTAAATTTATTATAATTAATAATTACTAAATATACAACATGATTGTATGTAAATAACTTTCCAATTACAATGTGAATTGTACATATTTTAATTAGTAATAGACAAAGCAGACAGATTAGAAATTAAACTTTTTTTAATTGCTTAAATTTGATGCGCTTTTAGAATTGTTTAAAGAGTTAACATATCGTATCAAAACCAAAATGTTAAGCAATATTGAAACCATATTTGAAACAGTCAAGTAGAAAATCAATGTCAATATCTTAAGCATGTGTATTTGCTTGGCAAATAAACTTCTTCAGTTGAAAATTTTTGTTATTCTACAAACACATTAACAATTTATCTTGTTCTCTGAAATGATTTACACAGAACTGTTGAATTTATGACTGTATTTTAACATATTTTAAGTTACTGTAAATTAACTTAAAATAAAAATAATGCTTTACTTTTTCAGTGGTTCA